GTCCCATTGAAACCCATTATAAACGCTATTTTTCACGCCAGAAAAAATACGGTCAAAGGGAAAGTCAGGTTTCCAGCTTGGGTTTCGTTTTGGACTACAGGCCTTAGAGTTGTAATTTTTTTATTTGTCCACCGGGTGGCGCCCTTGCTTCACATTTGACCTCTGCTGGAAAACAGCGGGCTGCTTGGACAGACCTGCCGAAAATGACGCCTCTTTTCCGGCGTGCAGCAGCGGATTCGCCCGCTGATCGTGCGGACCATTTTTTGGTCCCTAGGACCATGAGAGGGTGCATTTTTTTTTGTAGTCAACAGGAAATGACGTATTTGTTGTCACGTGGTACCGGAAGTGTGCGCTGGAAAAAGGAGTCCGACGCAACATGCCCCGATCATCGTCGCGAGTTAACCCGGGAGAATGCACTCATTTCGGCCTCGACGAGCAGCATTTGCCGCCTGGAGACCATTTTCTGGTTCTGGAAAAAAAAATAAAAGGCGATCGAAATGACTCTTGGTGCCAATCTTTAGTCCATCTAAAGGCCTAATTATAATAACAATCAAATATTACTTCAAATGTTTTTTTGGGAAAATATTTAGTTTTTTAGTTTTTTTTTTAGTTTTTTTGTGATTTAAAGGGTTAAAACAACGAAAATATAATTAAAACTTTATATGAATATTTCAGGGAGAAGTAGTTTTAAAAGACTGACCAATTTAAAGTTAAAAAAAAAAATTAATATTTAATATTTTTATTGCACTTTTTGGGCGTGGTCGATAGTGTGCATTTTATGAAATGCGCTCCTGGAAAAAAAATAAAAGGCGATCGAAATGACTCTTGGTGCCAATCTTTAGTCCATCTAAAGGCCTAATTATAATAACAATCAAATATTACTTCAAATGTTTTTTTTTGAAAATATTTAGTTTTTTTGTTTTTTGGGGCTAAAAAAACAGGGCGCTCGTGTAATGAAACTGGGATTTAAAGGGTTAAAACAACGAAAATATAATTAAAACTTTATATGAATATTTCAGGGAGAAGTAGTTTTAAAAGACTGACCAATTTAAAGTGAAAAAAAATATGAATATATAAAGTTTTTATAGCACTTTTTGAGGAATGGACATTTATTGTCCTTAGGCACAAAGGTGGATGTCTTTTTAAGGTACCTCCAAGGGTTAAAAAAGTTTAATATAATTGCAATATCAGAAACATGGCTTGATAATGAGAAAGTTAGTGAAATGGGAATGGAAGGATATGAATTATTTACAATGAACAGGGTGAATAAAAAAGGAGGCGGTGTTGCTTTATATGTAGATAAAGTTTTGAAATGTAGTCTGATTGAATGTATGTCAAGCACCATAGATAACATATTGGAATGTGTCACTATTGAAATTCATGTTGAAAAAGCTAACAATATAATTATAAGTTGCATCTATAGGACACCAGGTTCATGCCTTGAGATATTCAATGAAAAACTTGCTGCTATGTTTAGCAACCTAAATGATAAAAAAGTGCAAATAATTTGTGGTGATTTTAATATAGATTTGCTAAACCCAAATGGACATCAGAAAACAACAGATTTCATAAATACAATGTATAGTAACTCCCTTTCCCCTGTAATTATAAAACCAAGTAGAATAACAACTGATACAGCTACATTGATAGATAATATATTCACAAATAAAATTGACCATGAAATAGTAGGTGGACTTCTTATAACTGATATAAGCGATCATCTTCCTGTTTTTGCAATTTTTCAAAATTATTTTGGGATTAAAACTAAACAAAAGAATCAAATATTTGATATGATACGACATAGAACAACAAGAGACATTGCTGCCCTCCAGGTGGACTTAAAGGAACACAATTGGAATGAGGATTTTGCAAATGAAGATTCAAATAGTGCATATGATGCATTCTTATCAACAGTAATTTCACTATATGAAAAACATTGTCCTTTAATGAAAATCACTAGAAAGCATCACAGATCCAATAAGCCATGGATCACAAAGGGGATAGAAGATGCATGTAAAAAGAAAAATAATCTATATAAGAGATTCATAAAACAGAGGACAAAAGATGCTGAAATAAAGTACAAGTTATATAAAAATAGATTAGTAAATATTATAAGAACAAGTAAGAAAGAATATTACCACAAATTATTGGAGCAAAGTAGTAACACACAAGAAACATGGAGGATATTAAACAGTATAATCAAAAAGGGCTCAAAAAATAAGAATTATCCAGATTATTTTAAAAAAGATAAAGATATTGTGCTTGATAAAACTAAAGACATTGCAAATGAATTTAATGATTTCTTTGTAAATGTTGGCTTTAATTTAGCAAAAGAAATTCCAGAGTCAAGAAATAATAACAACCTAAATAAACATATTACTCAGAATGTGTCCTCCATGTTTATTGGTGCTGCAACTCATAGAGAAATAATTAACATTGTGAAGACATTTAAAAATAAAAAGTCCACTGACTGTTTTGGTATTGACATGATATTAGTTAAAAGTATTATAGAATATATAGTGCAACCTTTCGCATACATTTGTAATCTGTCCTTTCAAACTGGTGTGTTTCCCTCACAAATGAAAATAGCAAAAGTTATTCCAATCCATAAAAACGGAGAGAGATGTCAGTTTACCAATTATAGGCCAATATCACTGCTCCCACAGTTCTCAAAAATTTTAGAGAAGTTATTTGTTAATAGACTTGATAAATATATTGAGAAGCATAATCTCCTAAGTGATAACCAATATGGCTTTAGAGTGAAAAGGTCCACTTCGATGGCAGTGATGGAACTTGTTGAAGGGATATCTAATGCTATAGATAATAAGGAATATACTGTTGGTATTTTTATAGACTTAAAAAAGGCATTTGATACAATTGATCATTCTATATTAATGAATAAACTAGAGAGATATGGCATAAGAGGGATAGCATACAAGTGGATGAGAAGTTACCTGGATGAAAGATATCAATATGTCGAATTCAATAATGTAAAATCTAAGCAGTTGAAGGTAACTTGTGGTGTTCCTCAGGGCTCTGTGCTGGGCCCTAAATTATTCATATTATATATAAATGGTATATGTAGTGTTTCCAAACTGTTAAAATGTGTATTGTTTGCTGATGATACCACTCTGTACTGCTCAGGTAAAAACCTAGAACAGCTTCTGACTACAGCGGAAAAGGAGTTAAATATATTAAAAAACTGGTTTGATGTAAATAAGTTATCATTAAATATAAAGAAAACAAAATTGATTATTTTTGGCACTAGACAAATGAAAAATGTATCTAAAATCAGGGTTAATGGAATTGAAATTGAAAGAGTGTACGTAAATAAATTTCTTGGAGTGATAATCGATGATAAGCTGAGTTGGAAGTCTCATATAAACCATGTGAAAACAAAAATGTCAAAAACCATTGCTATTCTCTACAAAACAAAGCATGTCCTGAACAAAAAAATCATTATACACACTTTATTGTACTCTGTTGCTTCCATATATGACTTACTGTCTGGAGATATGGGGTAATGCATATAAAACGAACACTCTTCATATTTTCAAGTTACAAAAAAGAGCTATAAGAATTATAAACCAATCAAACTATATAGAACCAACTAACATTTTGTTTATTAATCTGAATACCCTGAAATTTTATGATTTAGTTGAATATAAAATGGCACAGATAATGTATAAAGCACAAAATAACTTGCTTTGCCCCAGTACTCAGAAGCTGTTCAAAGTCAGAGAGAGTCAATATGACTTAAGGGGAACAGATTTCTTTAAGGAAAACAAGATGAGGACAAATATAAAGCAGAGATGTGTTTCTGTTAGAGGATTTAACCTGTGGAATAGTTATGACAGTGATTTAAAAAGGTGTGGTTCATTTTCCTTGTTTAAAAATATGTTTAAAAATAGAGTATTAGAAAAATATATAAATCAAGAATGAAAAGAGCAAAAAACAAAACAAAAAACCTCTTGATTCTTTTGCTTTGATGTAGTTACTTATCTAAGGTGGAAAGTTTTTTTTCTTGTTTGTTTGTTTTGCTTTGTTTTATTATTTGCTTCGAGCCCTGTGTACAGGAGCTGCATGCAAAAATATCTTTTATTAAAGGGTTGGCGTAATAAGCAAATGCTTCAGCCAATACCTTTTGATTAGCCTTGTCTCATGCTTTCTTGCTTTGTGGTAGATCTTTGTTCTGTTTTCACTGAGATATTTGAATGCTAATCAATAAAAATCAAATCAAATCAAAAACATCATCTATAATTGACTGAGACAGGACTCTCTTCCAGACACTAAACCAAGGCACAATGTACATTTCAATTCCTTTCATTTTAACCCTTGTATGGTGTTCGGGTCTGTGAGACCCGTGTTCAGTTTTTTTCAAAAGAAAAATTAAACAATTAATTATTTTTTCACATGTAAATGTGTTGTGTCTTTCCACTCACTCCACTTGATTATAACTGATTTATTTATAACATTTTATATAAAAGAAAAACGAGAAGCACATTAATTCATAAATGTGATCTAACAAAGGTAAAGGGAAAAAATTAACCATGTTTGCTGTTCATATGTCTTGTAATTGGGATGAAGTAAACATCTGTTGAGTAATTTAACATAAAATTGTTTGATAGTGTTAATTTGGAAAGCCAAAACTCTAGCGGGTCCACCAGACCCATGAACACTGGCTGAGTAACAAAAATACGAACACCACACAAGGGTTAAATATGTTTATATTGTCCATCCTGTAAAATAGTCAGATGTCTGTTCATATTAATGTACAGAATTCACCTGCTTGCTGCTACTACTGCACATTCACCCAGTGTGTGTGTGTGTGTGTGTGTGTGTGTGTGTGTGTGTGTGTGTGTGTGTGTGTGTGTGTGTGTGTAAAACGCGCGGCGGACACTAAAGCGGTGGCGCCAGAATGTCACGCTAAAAAGAAAGATTCTTTAAAATACAAGGGGGAGCAAGCGAGTCAGATACCACGGGCACAGAGAGTAAGCAGGTCTGATCAGAAACAGTTTATTACTGGGCCAGAGAGCACAAATAAAAACACCCTTAAAATGTACGTAATAAAATGTTTGCTCTCTACTAAAAACAATTCTAAAACCCATAAAACTACCATTTTCTACATTCACTAAACCCCCCCCTGCTATAATTAGGCCACATGTTCATTATGGGTCCATCAGCAGGCCAGGAATTCCTCCTTTAGAGCAGAGTCCACGCCAGCCCCGTCTTCGGCAGACAAGAAAGAGCCACCCATCTTCTTGTCCTTCCGCTGGCCCATCACTTCCCAGTCCGGCTTGCGTTCTGCACCCGAATCCATGATGCGACCACCGCCACAGCTCCCCTTGTGTCGGTGTCCTGTAACATAACAAATAGGGGCCAGAACAATGGTCCCAGAAGCGGCCCTGGCTCATGGCCATGGTGACCCTCTCCCAATCCAGCTGCACCCAGTAAACAACAGTAGAGACCCTACTCACAAATGCAGGCAGAGGTAAACCTCTGCCCTGCTGCCAATCACACGCGTTGTCTCTTACTGTTGCCGTTCCATGAGGTCAGGACTTGGTCGCCGCATCACACTGGCCATCTTGCATTAACCTTCCAGTCTGGGGCCTCTCTCTTCAGTGCTCAGCTAGCCTGTTTTTAAAAGGTCTTTACACAGCTGATAGGCCACCTCTGGACACACCCCTGCCTCAGCAGGTGGTCCCTATCAGCTAATTCGTCCCATGTGCAGCCAGTCCACAGTGGATAAAAACCATGTCACATAAAACACTAAAAACCATGCAATAGAAACAGAATAAAACCATGCAAATAAAACAACACTCATAAATAAACACTAAAAATCAGAATAAAAACAATATACAAGATAAATACAAATTTCCACTGTGTGACATGTGTATGTATGTATGTACGTACGTACGTACGTACGTATGTACACACATATATACATATACATACACACATATATACACACATATATACACACACACACACACACACACACATATACATATATACACACACACACACACACACACACACATATACATATATACACACACATATACACACACACACATCCAATAAAAAAGGTTTATCATTGATTGAAATTCATTCAGAAATGTTTAACGAATGAGCTGTCACAACTTTCAAGTACAAAGTTGTTATGAAGTCTGTCACATTCCCCCCTTTTTCTTTTTTATCCTTTATTTATTTATCCTTCTTATTTCATTGTACTGTATATTGTTACTCTTATTTGCCTTGTATGTCTACTGTACAAACTGAACTGGAATGACTGACTGTTCGCTTTATCATTTCAATAAAGTTTGGGAAAAAAAACCTCTTCGGCCGCTCGCTTTTGCCGTATTTTGCGGCAAAATTATCCACATCCACCGCCGCGCTATGAATTGCGGGATATATGGGACCACGAAGCGTGCACCGGACCACGCTTGATATTTGGGGAAATCGACGGCGCATTTGGAGTATGCATTTGAATCACACTTAGAATTGGGACAGCCGTCGTCGCGTGGCGGTGACGTAACCGCACTTAAAATGCGTACTTCAAGCGTGCAGACTCTTAATTGGGACACAGCCTGTGTGTCTCTGTGTCCCAGGCAATCACATATCAGGTGATGTTGTTTTATTCTCACCTGTGTGCAGCTGCAGTTCCGGTTCAGATTACTGTGACCCCTCTCACACCTGTGAGAATTTCACTCTGTGGAGCAGAATCGCGTTATTTAAGCTGGTTTAATGTCTATAAAGAGAGCCGGAACTTCATCGCCGTCATCGCGTGCGACCTGAGACGAGAACGCGACACTTTCTCTCCTCCGTCTGGATGCAACGGATTGCCATGGTAACGGCAGCTTCCTCCCGGCATGCAGCAGCCTGCGCCCCCCTCCCTCCCTGTTAGAGCGGCGCAGGGTGGAGCAGCAGACGGACCGACAGCAGCAGCAGCAGCAGCAGGAGGTAAGAGCCGGACAGCGCCCGTCCTCCTTCTCTTCACCCTCTTCATCCTCCTCCTCGGAGATTCTCGGAGCAGCTGCGGCGGGTTTGCGGTGACCGGATCAGTCCGCAGGCTGCTGTTAGGCCCGGAGCTAACACGGAGGAGGAGGAAGAGCGGGCTCGGGTGTAGCTGCGCTGACACATTCAGACTTTTATGATTGTATTTCTGCATTATCATCATCATCATGGTGATTCACCGTGCCTGAGCATGCTCACTGACTCCTCTTCATCACCTCTCCTCTCTGTGTCCTCCCCTCCTCTGTAGGAGTGAAGATGGATGGAGACTCCGCCCCCCTCACAGATGGCCCCGCCTATGAAACGCAGAAGATGGAAGGTTGGTAACAATAATTACTGACATTTGATCGATAACTAAAGGTGTTACGAGAAACTGATCACTTGACTGAGCTTTAATCCTAACCCTACTCCCAACTTATTTTGCTCCACCCCTCCACTCTGATTGGATGGCTGTTAACTGGAGCCGGAGAAGAAAGCGACTCTTGCTCCACATAAGATGAACATGAAAAAAACCTGACGAGCAGCAACTTTTACCAAAGTCAGAGAGTCAGCGATCGACGAACTCTGGCTGTTCTTTGATTATTAGTCCACATTAAGATATTTTTTTAATCCTCCCACAGAAAAAGCCGCTGTGAAGGCAACTTCTGAAGAATCAATGAAGGTAAATCTGTACACTTACTGATCGGAATCAATAATCAGCTGTTCCCAGAGGCTGGCGCCATGCACGAGGCCAACACGATGATGGGAAATGTTCACGAACTGGAAGATTTTTCCCAAATTCACAGCTTTCAGACCTCGCTCCTTTTCACCATGGTAACTGACATTGTGTTTCAGGCCTCCAGGACAGCAGGAGGCGCCAGAGCAGCCAAGATGATCTCAGCCAAGAGCACAGGTACACTGACCCAGTATAACCAGTCACACCAGTTTAACCCATCAGAGCCACTAACCCGTGTCTGTCTGTCTGTCAGAGTCCGTGGACGGCGTCAGCAGTCCAGGAAGTCGTTCTCCCGCCAGCCGATCGTCCACGCCTAACAGAGAGGTGAAGAAGGTGAGAACACCTGAGATAGGTGCTGAAGTATTCATACGCTTTACTGCAGTCAAACCAGCAGTACAGCAGTGTATAGATACTCTGACAGAGGGTTACTGGTTCAGCAGGGTCGTTCTGTCTGCAGTCACTATGTTGTTCCAGAGCACGCATGTTACTGAAATGATCCGTACACAGTGTTGGGGAGTAACGGAATACATGTACCGCCGTTACGTATTTAAAATACAAAATATGAGTAACTGTATTCCGTTACAGTTACCGTTTAAAAAGGTGGTATTCAGAATACAGTTACTTTGTTGAAATAAATTGATTACACGGCGGTACTTTCCTGTTTCATATTGTGGCGGGTCGGGACTGTTTCGGTTTTGTTGGACAGCTACGTTCTGTTGTTCCAGGCGGCAGCGTTACGGTTGCCATGGTTACAGGGTGACGCGCTCTCTTTGTGACTGTGTTTCCTGGGTGAGAGAGCGCCTTTTTTTGTTGTTGTTGTTGTGCTAAGCTAAAAGGTAGAGTGTTACAGACATAGCCCTAAAGAATGTAGCCTCATGGGCAGTGTAGTCCGTGCTGCAGGGAGAATGGACTGCCATACACGTTATGTGTCTGTGAGCGCGAGGAGGGAGAAAAAGGAGAGTCGAAAAGCAGGAGTTATCGTCAAGCAGAAACGGGAGCTGGAAGCATGTAAATATAATAATAACCACTGCAGCCAAGAAGAGTGCCTGACAAGCCCAGTTGTAAGTAAGCTATTACGACTCGACTGTACGCTGTGTTCGTGTTTTCATCCGAAACAATAAGTTCTGTTGGAGCAGCCTTTCAACGCCTCTCTCTCTCTCGCAAGCAAAGTTGACCCAGACAACAAAGTAAAGCTAGTTTTCAGCTACGAGCCCAACAGGGAACCTGACGTATTAGCCAGAGGTCCCTTTACTACGGTTCAGACCCGCGGAACTTCAGTAATAGTAATAAATCACATTCATGTAGTTGTAAAAGCATGATAATATATTAAGTAATCCGAAGTATTCAGAATACATTACTCTCATTGAGTAACGTAACGGAATACGTTACAAAATACATTTTGGGGCATGTATTCTGTAATCTGTAGTGGAATACATTTTAAAAGTAACCTTCCCAACACTGTCCGTACATAATGTGTGTAGTTCTGTGTGATTTACACAGCATTAAGTAAAACTGCAGGTCTTCATTTTCACTGATGAGCGCATCACCTCACAATTAATGTAACGACTGTTTGGACTGCCTGTGCGCGATGCATCCTATCACTGCAGTGTCATCTGCAAATTTTAGAATAGAATAGAATTCAATACAATAATACATACAGAGAAAAACCCAACAATCATATGACCCCCTAGGAGCAGCACTTTGGCGACAGTGGGAAGGAAAAACTCCCTTTGAACAGGAAGAAACCTCCGGCAGAACCAGGCTCAGGGAGGGGCGGGGCCAGGGTGATATGGTACCACAAGGTCATTAAGATAAGATGGGGCCTGATTATTTAAGACCTTGTATGTGAGGAGCAGGATTTTAAGAGCCAATAACAGAAGGACTGGTTCTGACAGTGTCTGTAACTGGTACCGGTGGTTAAAATGGTTCTGCCATTCTGCAGGTGGCGGTGGTCCGAACCCCCCCCAGGTCTCCTGGCTGTGCTCGTGGACGGACGCCCCCCCTCCCCTCTCATCCAATGCCCGACCTCAGCAATGTGAAGTCAAAGGTTGGGTCCACGGAGAACCTGAAACACTCACCTGGAGGGGGCAAGGTAACGTACATCCGTCCACCTGCTGTGCAGAGCTGACTCTCAGGTAGATCCTGACACTCACCTGTCTGTCTGTAGGTTCAGATCATCAACAAGAAGCTGGATCTCAGTAATGTGACGTCAAAGTGCGGCTCCAAAGACAACATCCACCACAAACCAGGTAACGTTCCACACCACAATCACATATCTCGAGATTAAGTGGAGAGCTGATCAATAAAAAGTAGCACAGACGAGTAGTACCGGCTGATCTCTTCGCTCTACTCCTCAGGTGGAGGGAAGGTGGAGATCAAGTCAGAGAAGGTGGAGTTTAAGACCGTTCAGTCCAAAGTCGGCTCTCTGGAGAACGTCACTCATGTGCCGGGAGGAGGGAAGAAGAAGGTACGCACTAACATCCACCTCCTCATGGGGGTCGGAGGAGCAGAGTCAGCACTCCCGACTCCTCTGTTACACCGCAGTGTCATAGAAACTTCAAACAACGTCCTGCACGCAGAAGACCTGCTGTCTCCTCCGTAAATGGAGACGTCTTCGGCCCTGCTCACGCAGGTCACCGGTGTCACGTGACCTAATTTGTCCTTTGCTGTAAACTCTGTCCGCTTACAGTGGAAGCATAATTTCTTTTGTCCTTTTATTTGGCGCTTTACACACCCAGCTCAGGAGCAGCACATTTTTGTCATGTGACCTGATTCCCAGTCATGTGACACCTGCGTGTGTGTTTGCAGATCGAGACTCAGAAGCTGAGCTTCAGAGAGAGCGCCAAAGCTCGAACCGACCACGGTGCTGAAATCATCATCCAGGCTGACTCCTCCCCTTGTCATCTTAGCAACACTTCCTCCCATGGAAGTCTTAATGCAACTGAAACTCCACCCCTCGACACCCTGGCCGATGAGGTAAGAAGTCCGGGGAAGAAGAAAAAAAAATTAAAAAAAAAAAAAAATCACAAAGTAAAAACATAACATATGCTAACACACCACTTCCTCTTTCCGTAAGGTGTCCGCCTCTCTCGCCAAACAAGGCCTGTGATTGGACAAACCCTGTGCCTACAGACCCTGCCCCCCTGCTGTCACCAAGGAAACGGCCTAATGGAAGAAAAAAAAAAATCATCATACATGTTACACAAAGCTACCGAGGATTGGAGAGATTTTATGAATCAGAAATCACCCAGAGTTCACCCAGGGTCACATGATCAGCCTCACTTATATTTGTTATCTCCACTGCGAATCAACTTTAAGCTGAGCAGTGACAAATGAATGAATAAATATGACTTTCAGCAGATAAATGTTTAACCTTAAGAGTTCCTGTGGTAAGCTGATCAGCTCAGCGTTTAAAAACCTGATCAAAGACCCAACGGCGTTAAATGCGATTAAACACACACACACTCCACAAACCTGTGATGCGTAAATGCCCACAGCACCCCCCCCCATACCCGGAGCCCGCTCTTTAATCTGACCTTTGAAGAAAATTTGAGCTCGTTTTGAATTTGGCGACAGACGCACGGCCGTGAACGTGTCCCAGTTAGTCCGCCGCACGATATCCTCGTGTCAGTGTTGTTCCCACATCATCATAATAAATGTTGTTCCAGGTTCAACATTGCAAGTGACCAATCACATTGTTGTGACGTCATACTTTTGCGACTTCGGAAAAAAACACCTTAAAAATATAATCTACTTGTGAGAAACCGCCTTTGTCCGACAATACAGCAATTTGAATTCTTTGCATTTCAGGATACTGTTTTTAATGAACTGTAAGCATTATACAGATTGTCCTTGCAACATTGTAATTTCATAAATTAATAAATCGCTTGGCTTGCAAAAGTATGACGTCACAACAATGTGATTGGTCACTTGCAATGTTGAACCTGGAACAACATTTATTATGATGATGTGGGAACAACACCGACACGAGGATATCAGATCATCCTTAGTCCGCCTGCGCTGTGCAGAAGTTTCGTTTTGAGCACTGAGTCGATGAAAAAGCATCTGAAGCTTGAACTCGCCATTATTTTAACATCTGTCTTGAGCACTTCCTGGAGGAAACAGGAAGTGTGAGAACGGTGGGAAAAAGTGAAACATTAAGTCATGTGACTCTGGAAACAGGAAGAGTGTTATTAGCGTTGTTCATAAAATGTGTCCAATCATCGAGCCTCTATCTCTCTGATGTCATCTTTCTACCAATCATATCTCTTCTGTGTTTTTGCTGACGTGCTGTACCAACCCCTCACCACCACCATCATTAAAAAAAAATACCCAGAATGCCGTTTGATACCAGGTGCCAAAACATTTGTGTCTCTCTGCCTGTTGGCTGTTCAAGTGCTTTGTACCAATAAAGTTTCTCTTGAATCTGACGAGTTTTTCATCACTGCAGAGAAACGCCATGACACCAGCCTCATAACCGCTGTCAACAACATAAAAAGGAAGCAGTTTTATCAGATTTATGTGCTTCTTCCACTTATCCGGGGACGGGTCGCCTAAACAGAGAAGTCCAGACCTCCCTCTCCCCAGTCACCTTGTCGTTCCCAGGGTTAGAAAGATATCGTCTCTCCAGCGTGTCCTGGGTCTTCCCCGGGGACTTCTCCCAGTGGGACATGCCTGGAACACCTCACCCAGGAGGCATCCTTGTCAGATGCCCAAACCACCCCAACTGGCTCCTTTCGAGCAGGCTAAGCTCCTCACCTGATCTCTAAGGGAGGCCAGCCCCCTTTCAGAGGAAGCGCATTGTATCCGCTCACTCTACACCATGAAGGACAGGTACAGCATCCAGATCACTAATCCGTCTGCCGATCTCCCCTAAGCAAGACCCAGTGATGAAACCAAACCAGAAAAACGCCATTCTGAATACTACATCAGGCGCAATGGTTAGCACTGTTGTGAGGTTCCTAGTTTGTATCCCAGCTTGAGCATGTTCTCTGGGTTCCTCTCACAGTCCAAACACCTGCTTGTCTGTTAGACCTGTGACAGACAGGAGTACAGCTGGGATAGGCTCCACCCCCCCATGCCCTTTGTCTGGATGGACAGATGATGTAAACAGTTCATGGTAGGCCAGAGTGAGGTTTTTAAATTGACTATTATGAGATATGCACAATCGCGGCAAAATCAGTTTAAAATTTTAGCTTGGAGCCGCAGTTAGCAGCTACATGCAGCCTTTTATTGCCTCGCCCCCTATCACAGCTGGAATAGGCTCCAGCACCCCCGCAACCCTGAAAAGGATAAGCAGAAGCGAATGGATGGATGTTATGGGATGTCTTTCAATATGAAACTGGCTGCAATTAGTCCACATCAGCTCAAAACCACAAGAATCATCACCTGTACAAACCAGTGTCACGGCAAAACATGTAATAGCCTTGCCAGTCCACTGTGTGCAGTTCACACTTTGGTTCTCCAAAACTTGAAACGGACACGCCTGCAGAAGTAGCATTACCAGATAGAAAATATAGTTAAATCCATGAAGACAGTGGCAAAACAATAACCAAAAACGCACATACCGGTAGGTCCACGGTCCTTAAATGCTGGAAACGATCTAGCTGTATTTTCATGTAAATGCGTTAATGTCTATTTAAACACACACTCGTGATTAGCTTCATTTTGGCCTGAAATTAAAATCTCCCTCTGCTGCACGCATGTCCTCAGGCAAAGCATGAAACGTGATATCATGTTCCCATCTAACACCTGTTCATGTTACCTGTGGTGACTCACCTGAGCCCTAATCCAGGAAGCAGATTCATTAAAACAGAGTTTAAAAACAAACTCTGCTGGTCTCAGTTCAGCAACCAGAGTCGTAGGTTCACCCTGAGTGACAGACCGCCATCATCAGTGGAGCTCAGATACCAGGATACTGTTGTGATCGCAGAATGAATAAGTTTGATTCAAATCCGTCTATGGTCACCTTCAAGATCAGATGAAGCTGAATCCTGACCTTTGACCTTAAATCTAACAATCTGATCAGGTCATTGACGGCAACAGACTCAACATCTGTTCAAGACAGCTGAACAGCCTCGTGGCAAATGCTACGCTAATGTTTCTACTGTCATCTAATGCCAGCTTCACTCAGAGCAGTTAAAGGTCAGAGGTCAGCCACAGTTTCACATCGATAAACCTATAGTGTGAAGAGAAATGTTTTTGGTTACAAACGTGAAGAAGAGTTCACCGATCTGAGTCATCACCTGTTACCATGGTAATATTAGCAAACTCAGTTTTAGCTGAACTTGCTTCCTATAAAAGGACTCTGGGCTCTGACTGGCTACAGAGGAAGCAGACAGCAGTGGGCGGGGTTTAAATGTTTATTGATTATTACCATCAGGATGGAAAACAAAACAAAAGAAAAATATTAAAAACAAAACAAAAAAAACCCAGCTGTGATGACATGACAGGAAGGAAGTGTCAGGGGGCGGGGTTTCAGGGCACCAGCAGTCCGTTTCAGCCAACAGGAGGATGGGGAGAGAGGCGGAGCTAAACTGAAGGTCTGTCATTGCCTAGGAACAGTACGCCTCTGGCCAATCAAAACAGGGGAGGGACTGGCTCAAGCCAGGGTTGGGGCGGAGCCAAAGGGCGTGGTTAAAGAACGTCATCACTCTCGGCCGTGTGGAGCTGCGTGTCGTCGGCGTCCGTCATGATGCTGCTGTCCTGACTGTCGTCCACCTCGGCTGCTGGAGGGAGACAGGTTAGACCTTTTTTTTTTTTTTTTTTACAAATAAACTCTGAATAAGCTGACAACAGAATTCAATAAGTAACGTTTCCAGAAGAACGTGAAAGATCAAAATGAATCTGGATAATGTGTGTGTGCTAAAATAATGAACGGTTAGAAAGACATCAGCACATTTCAAACTAGTGACTGCAGAAGCAGAAGGCTTCCGCTCCTGCTGCTCTGCTCTCACTTGGCTGCGTTCAGCCACGCTTCCCTCGTTGCTCATCGGTTCCCGGCTCACTGACACGCTCTGTTCAACATCCCATCTTGAGCCGTGCAGTAGTTACTCATCTCTTATATTTATTTATCAATCACAGCTAGCTTGGTGTGGCTTGTGTTACAGTTCATTGTCAAATGCTTCATGTCAAAATGTGTGTAAACAATCGTGTTGCTAGGCACCCGTCGGGCCGCAGCAGCAGTTTTTCATTTCTGTGGGGTGGAAATGACGTCCTCGATGCTTCCAGGTACAAGTGTTTTCTTTCGCGTTTGATCCACACACTCCAAAATTCAGTATTTGTCAGAAAGCCCTGAAATATTTTATTTTAACAGAGATACAGAATCTTTAACCCTTGACGGACACACCGGCGTGTCCGCGTCACATGGCAACGCAGCCTCACCAAGTCTCCCGTTTCCACTTGTGTTGAAAATTCAAACTGTAAACCTGACTTGGTGTTGATTGGCCGAGTAAAACCAGAGTTACGGGGAAAAACAAGATTTTCTAAGGACAATACTCGGACATGGGCCCAGGTGGACAACAGGAGGAGGGATACACCTGCAGGTGTCAGGGCTGTGACCTGCCCTGCTGCCCTGTAATGGACAGGAACGACTTTTTGGCACAAATCAGTTGTGTGGCGTCCTATTGTGACAGCTTCTGTAACGGGTTTAAATACATGCGTGGCCAAGGCCCTTGCTGCGTTTTTACATCAAGTTTATTGTTTGCAAGATTTCTACACACATTTTAAATTTACGTTTGTAATTCTGGAAATGATGTTAAACACGTTTACAGTTTTCTGCTGTGAAAACATGTTTGTTCTGTGAAGTGGTGCCGAACACAGTGATTCTACAGAAGAATCAAACCCAGGACCACAGACGGTAAAACGCCATCAACTAAACATGTGTGGGGACTACTTCCTCTCTGCATATGACATCACCAAACAGTGGCAACAGTGCGTACCTTCGTCCTCAGGCAGGTATCTCTTGTCGATGGCTTCCTTGATCTGGTTGTTGGCTCCTTTAGGGTCCAGGTCCATCGCCCAGCTGAAGTTCATCAGAGCCAGGTGAGTCTGCCCCAGCTTCTTATACACCTGAGGCACAGGTGTAACAGTCATCAGAACATTTATTCATCACTCAGGAAATTACGGGCTTACAGTTGCTCCAAGGATTGCTCTGACTAGCTGCTTAATTTCTCTGCACACCTGAACAGCTTTCAGTGATGACAGCGTTTCTGATGACAAAAAGAGGTCAAAGGTCACACTTACCTTTCCAATGAGGAAGTAAACCAGCGACTCTTTAGGAACAATCTGCTTCAGCTCCTCCAATTCCTGCAGAGCCGCCTGCACGCATGCACGCACCCACACACACACACACACACACACACACACACACACAGATCAGAGAGGCAGACAGCACAACAGTACAAGCGTCTAACAGCAGGGGGCGCTGTCTAAGTGGCGTGTGGCCTCCTGCTGTTGTCTGAGGTTTTCATGCTCCTTTTTTCCCTGCTCGTTTACATTGCAGTGAATGCTGCTGTCGCTCCCTTTCTGATGCCGTCAACCAATGAGAACTCAGCGTGCAGTCCACGCATCATGCATAGAAGAAGCCACATGTGACCACGATGGAGAAACATCAAAGCTCCTTTAAAATTAATCTGAGGTCAGACGCATGCGAACGTGGATGCTGCCTGCGAACGTGGATGCTGCCTGCGAACGTGGATGCTAAACCGCAGACTGCATCTGTCTCAGCCGCACGGTCGCTGAACCGGCCCGCCTGCAGTCCAGACCTCTGGCCAGCTGACAACATCTGGAGCATCATGTAAGCAACAACAGGACGAAGCAGAGCCAGGACTGCTGAACAGCTGGAATCCTCCATCACAGGATGGAGGATTCCTCTCCAACATCACAGACTGATGTTAGAGAGGAAACACGGAGCTGTCCTACC